TTTACACTGATGTCTCTCAGACTTCAGCTGCTGGGTTTTTATAGCAAGAAAAAAGAGGAAAAGGAAGAATTACTAGTTTTGATGCAATAGAATAAACAAAACAATCAGAAAATTACTCGCTGGGAGTATACTAGTTATATAGAAAATGTAACTCATCAGTTTGTAGTAACTATAAATGGTGATAATGAAGAAAAAATTTTAATTGAACTTTGCACAGAAATATTGTAGCTATCTTGCTATTGTTATTACATTGGAAAATATATCATGAAATAATTTTCATGCAGCAAATAGTACATAAGTGATAGCATTAAGTACATGACTGCACTTATATGTGTCCATGTACATGTATAATGAGCATTGTGTGCAGCCAAATGCAACTTGTATCAAATCATGACGATGATGCTAAAATGATAATTAATATTATACACATGTATCATGTAACTATAGTTATTATGCAGTTCTGATTAAGTACACATATTTATAGTCTAAGTTTATTTCCTGTCCTTAATGAGCCTGTACTTGTCCTTCAGGCTGGTGGAGGTCCTTCCTTCTTGAAACGGATAAGCATTAAGTATGTGCTTCCATCGTGGGCCCAGTCTTGCTACTCCTTTACGTAAATAGGACACTTCTTCGTCAGTGAAGAACAATGACTTTTGTCTACCCTATACATGTATAATAATTAAGTGTAAAAATTTGTCTGTCAATTTTAATATTATTTTGCATCCATGTGCATGTACAGTGTATGTACTAAAAGCCCATTACATTTACTTGGCATACTTTGGTGCTCTTTTTCTTGTTCCTGTTGTGGTGAGGAATACTGACATCATAAGCAACTTTCCTTGCCATCTCCTTTGTAGCCTTTCCCTTCACTTGCTTTGCTATAAACTCGTCTAATGGCCTACAGGCTCCATTAGTAGACTCAGACAGAGTCATGAGTCTATTTATGAGTCTGTCTATTTATGTTTATAACTTTTTATCATTGTTTGCCACTGTCTACTTATGTTTATCACTGTTTACCACTGTCTATTTATGTTTATCACTTTTTTATCATTGTTTACCACTATCTACTTATCTTTATCACTGTTTACCACTGTCTATTTATGTTTATCACTTTTTATCATTGTTTACCACTGTCTACTTATGTTTATCATTGTTTGCCACTGTCTACTCATGTTTATCACTGTTTATCATTGTTTGCCACTGTCTACTCATGTTTATCACTGTTTATCATTGTTTACCACTGTCTACTCATGTTTATCACTGTTTATCATTGTTTACCACTGTCTACTCATGTTTATCACTGTTTATCATTGTTTGCCCCTGTCTACTCATGTTTATCACTGTTTATCATTGTTTGCCACGGTCTACTCATATTTATCACTGTTTAGGATGATACAAGAGTTCTGTTCCCACACTGATGTTTACTAAATTAATAGTAAACTCTGGAGTTTGGCTAAATCATTGGTCTTAAATCAAGCCTTATCTCAATAAAATATATACATGTTTATATACATCCACTCACTTGTTCATATATCTGTATAACCATAGAGGAGAAGGGGAGTTTCTTAGGAAGCGGCTCATGATGAATCTGAAGGTCCTTGTAATTGAACATCTCCATAATACCTTGAAAGTGCTGATCAGTCTCCACTATCACTGGAGTATAGTCATCAGTCACCAGGAGGTTCCTAATTAAAGGAACCATGCATTGATTTGAATCAAGAAGGGCTGCTGCTTACTTGAAAGCATCAGCATTTGTTTTCATAAGAAGTTCATCATAATGCTCTCTTAAAGGAACAAACAAGAGATTAGTTCAAGCATGCAGGTTCAACTTGTAATCTTTACCTTATCTCAAGTGCAACCTCATACAACTTGTCATTATTGAACCCATGGCCCTATACACAGTTAGATTATAAGGTCATGCAGTACACATTGCAATAAAAGCATGAATCTATTTTCTGCATTGCAATGGCATTTATAAAAAACAAGAAATTGCTTTGACTCAAAAAAACTCCACATTCACTACAGTAAAAACTATATGCTACATGTTACATGTATTATGAGATTGATATGTAGATCCTGTAATCGAATCACGGAACAAAAACAATCAGAACCAGACCATAAATCCAGTCACATCTGGCTACACGAGACTTACCATAACAGTATGACAAAACCAAACTATTGATTGCTTTATTTTCAGTAAAAGATAATTATCCTGGCAATGTAACTATAAACAATTAAAAAAGGTAAACAAAAGAAGCTCAAAATAAACACAGTATCAAAATTGTAAGGTTATCCCTCACTAGAAAATCATACTTTCATTTCTACAAAAGTTACCATAATTTACCAAGACTTTTTGCATAAGCTGAACTATAAACTCAGTGGCTAAGGCTGCATGCATAGCAATCAAAATGAACAAACAAATAAGTCTAAAAGAATATCATGCAATTGTTTATCTTACACAATGATGCCTCAAAACTGAAAGCATTTCAGATGTAGCCATTTCCCAAAACTCATCAAGAGCCTGCTGAGACATAAGACCCTAACCAGCCTCATCTTTATGACCACCAGAGCTGCTCTGACAAGTGCATGTGTAATATTGTATCCTCAACAACAAAGAATCTGAAAAATGACAGCAGCAAAGTGTAGTAACAGATCCATTAACATGCAAGGCTAATAATTACCCGATGATTTGGAAGAAATAGCACTTGAATTCTTGTATGTCATCAACGTAAGAGAGAGAGGGAGGGGGGAGGGAGAGAGGGAAGGGAAAGAGAGGGAGGGGAAAGAGAGGGTGGAAAGAGATGTAAGGTTATGTGCACCTTTGTTGGAGGTTTAATGGCCAATCTGAGCTGCTGTCTCCTTTCATTTCTATAATCATCAATAAAATGATCTCTTCTTCCCTATAGATGCATACACATACACACATACAGCTAAATAATTTATAACTTTACCAGAACAAAGTGAATGTGCAGACATCTGTTAACAGGAGAAAAATCAACAATGTCTTGAGTAGAAGCTGTCTCCACTTTAATGGATTCATCCTTCAACAGTAACTGACGTACATTGCTGGATAATTCTAGCCTAGCTAGTCTCTGAACCTTTAGATTTAATGTAAAAAAATTAATGAAGTTTAAAGACATGTAACGTGTTCATCTCTCCCCAATTATATGGTATAGTACCTGATGCATGGCTACTTCTCCAATTACAACAGATACATCTTTCACTTTAGTCAAATATTCCTACAGAATAGCAATGCAAAGAATCAATAGAGCACATAGCTCATCAAAATAATGATTTTTGTGCAGTATCTGTCTCTTGCTAATGTTATTATGCAATAGCCAATAAAATAATTCATGTAATAGGTTTAAGTGTTATTATCCAAGTTATGACATATGCACAAGTTGCTGCTTTGCAATGCAATTCTATATCATTATTTCACTGAATCAAATGACAAAAATGATAGAGATGAAATAGACTACAAAAATAAAAAATCTTACTAAAAAGAATATCCTACACT